CTCTCTCTCTCTCTCTCTCTCTCTCTCTCTCTCTCTCTGGGCTGCCATGTCCTGAATAATTCATGGCCCCTTGCAGTGTCCGGCAGGGAGCGAAGGAGGCAGTGACCTCTCCCCCCCTCCGCCCTTTCCTCCTCTCTACCCCCAACCCGGCCACCCCCGAAGAGAGCAGCAGGGAAGGTGGGCTGGGGGGAGGGGACGGGACCTATAGAGACTGCAGCACAAAAGGGGGGATGGGAGGAAGTCAGGACTCCTGGTTCTCCTCCCAACTCCGAGAGGAGTGGGTTAAAAAAATGTGTGCGCGTGCACAGGTTTGGGGCAGGGGCAATCTGGGATCCGGGGCAGGGGGCCAGGGGAGACGTTGGAGCAGAGAGCCTGGGCACCGGGTAGCTTCTCTGGATGTAGTGCAGTCTAGTGGGTTAGGAGGGCAGGGGGCCTGGGTCCTATCCCGTCTCTGGGAGGAGAGTGAAGCCTGGGGCCTGGGAACAGGGTCAGGGCGGGGAGCCGGGACTCCTGGGTTCTGTCCTTAACCCGGGAGAGGAGTGATGTTTGGTGGTTGGGAGCAGGGACTCCTGGGTTCCCTCCTTATCTCTGGGAAGAAGGTGCGGGCTCATGGTTGGAGTGGGGAGGTCTAGTACGTGGTACAGATGTGACTTTCTATCTGCCCCGTCCCTGCAGTGTGACCCGGGCCAGGCCACCAAGTACCTCTACGAGCTGCTCTACAATGACCCCATCAAGATCATCCTGATGCCAGGCTGCAGCAGTGTCTCAACCCTGGTGGCAGAGGCTGCCCGTATGTGGAACCTCATCGTGGTGAGCTACTCTGCAGGCACTGGGTGCCGTGCCTGGACCTGGGCGAGGTGGAAGAGCAGGGGGGAGAGGGGCCAGCCTGTGTCTGTGGGGCATGGGGGGGAACGGGTGTGTGGAGAGGTCAGTGAGCACTGTGCTTTGGGGTGTCCTAGTTCAATGGGACGTGTTGAGGGCAAACAGCTGGGAGGACTGAGGCTGTGCATTGATGTGGCAGGTTGTAGGCAGGGTATGTATGTGGGCAAAGCTCAGGAGGCTTTGTGTCTGTGTCTGTGTGGGTGTGC